AAATAACATTTGACAAGAATTTTACCCAGGAAAATATTATGTGCTTGTGAACGTCACCAATCTTTTCCATCTTCAAACTTTTCTTGAAATTAAAATGTATCCATACTTCATGTTTAATGGATGGAATATATGAATGTATTTCCAATGGTCTCCAATTGCAAACTAGCCTTTTATGTGACTGATGAAATGTAGCTAAAGGAGAAATCAGCAAATATGTTACATTCAAATGCATTTTGAATATTTAGATAGAAACTTACACTTATTGTACAAATATTTTATATAAATTGTTTAAATTTTATAAATTTTATTTCTGTTATTTTTATTTTGAAAATGTCAAATTATTATTAAAAATTTGATTCGATTGAGACAAAAGTATTTAGTGTTGCTGTATCCGAATATTACAATTGTCTACAAAACATTGATGGTTACAGTAACTGAAACATACTCATAACAGATATTTTGATTGTAGTAATCGAAATGTTAGTTATTAAAACATATCTTTTTAAAATCAAGTTGATTGTCTCTACTGATTTATCCAAGTAGTATAACAACAGCACATATTGATTGAGAACACTTTCTTGAATATTACTGGAACTGTAATTCTTTTATAGATATGAATTTTTAATTGTAAATATAGAAATTCGTTTATATTTATAATTTTTTAATAATCGCAAAGGAAATTCGGAACATATTACTAATTTACTGTATTAGTAACCAATTTCCAACTCTTCTTTTTTCTGTGTGTAGTCGTGCTTGTTCAACGAGTTTATTTTGTCTTATTGAATACTGAATATTGGCTGGCGTTAAGAAGTGGGACGTTATAATGCGGGTATGATTTTCAAAAGTGCTGATTTCGATATATATTCTTCATTTTTTTCTTTCTTCATTTGTTATAACGAAAAAAATCTGAATAAATGTTTTAGGGTTCATTTAAGTGGATTTATTTAAACATTATTTTGACAAGTTTTTATCAACTTTCGTTCTTTTTTTGTTTAATACTTATTAAATATTTGCATTAGAAAATTTTGCAATTGGTTTTCAGTTTAAGAGCGTTAAAAAAATCAATAGTTTAAATAAATAAAAAAAGTTTGTTTTTGTTTAACTTTAAAGTAAATGTAATTGAAGGTCTTCATATATCAGAGATGAAATGAGGAAAATAAGATAAGTTTTTGCCTTTAAAAAGTAAGGAGTAGTCTAAAATCTCCTCCAAGAAATGAAGAGAACTAAAACGTATTCTTTTTCAAAACTGACTGGTATAGTATACTATAGATCAACAAGTCTGTAATGGTATTTAATGAAAACACTAGAAAGACAGCTCAGCAATATCCCTTCTTCGTCTATCTTTTTCAAGGTATATACAGCACGCTTACCTTAAGTAAAGCTTTGTGAACCATCCCTGTATGGTCATTAGTGGATAGGAAATATTCTGAAGATCCTGAAAGGATTGGCTATTTTGTGTCTTATGATGTCTTGTTTTAAAAATATCAGGTCAATGCCAGACAATAGAGCCTGGACTAAAGAAACAGTTTTTTGAGATGATGTGACCTTAATCTACAATATCGATTGCACGCTTACCTTAAGGAAAGCTTTGTGAACCATCCCTGTATGACGTCGTCATTAATAGACGGGAAATATTCTGAAGATCATGAAACGATTGTCTATTTCGTGTCTTATGATGTCTTGTTGTAAAAATATCAGGTCAATGCCAGACAATAGAGCCTGGACTGAAAAAAACAGTTTTTCGAGATGATGCGATCTTAATCTACAATGTCGATTTCAAAAATTATTACATGTAACGACTTAGGCCTTAGGAGAAAGTAATCTCAAGACGCCGACCATTTACAAAGATAGTGTTTTTTCTATCAGGCTTATCAATACCAAAAAGTAAAAGGTCGAAATGTCTTCTTAATTGTATCAACTCCTTCTCCCAACTCAGATGACACTTTTTTGATTTCATATGAGTTTTCTTCGGAAAAAACTGTTCCTCGAACGGTAGAAATGAAAATCAGGTGATCCACTTAAACTTTTTGATTCGTTATGGATTCCTGAACATGAGCGTACTGGGATTGTCATCGAAAAAACTGTTTCCTGAATGTGGTATCGAAATTGATCGGCGAATGGGAAACAATAGAAATGGACTCGTTTTGTCTGGTCCTGTCTTTAACAATATGGACATCAATACTCTTGACCGCTGATAGCAATTCGTTGAGTATAATAACTAGAAGAAATTCAAATGGCTTTCGATTGCTCTTGCTATCCGTTATTAAATAATAAAAAATGTGATATTGTCACAGAAAATAACCCCTGAGCATGTTACCTAGATGATCTTGCGCATCATGGGGGAAATACTTCTAGTCTGCCGGGACAGTGATCATGTGGTGTCAAATATATCTTCGGGCTTTCCTTGGAATGATTTGATCTCGGGTAGAACCAGGGAGCCTTTTAATCTGCTACCACGGGAACCGGTAGCCCACAGGGCAGAGTTTCAATTTTTGTTACCTTGATGATCTTTCGCATCATGGGGGAAATACTTCTAGTCTGCCGGGACTATAAATTCGTGGTATTAAATGTATCATCGGCCTTTCCTTGGAGTGATTTGATCTAGGGTCGAACCAGGGAGCCTTATAATCTGCTACCACGGAACCGGTAGCCCACAGATCAGAGTTTCGGTCTTTGCCTTGTCCCGGTTATTGGATAGGTCCTTTCGGGGTGCACGTAGTGTCCAAACTTGCGGGAAGAGAATGTTGGTTTAAAAAGTCTATATTTGGGGATAAGTTCGGTGCTGTTGCCGAAAAGAATAAGAGTCAGCCCTCAGAGGAGTGAGGGATTTAGGAATGAGTTGGTGTCAAGTGGCTTTATTTTGAACCCAAACTTGCGGGAAGAGAATGTTGGTTTAAAGAATGAAGACTGGTAAAGTCTATATTTGTGGATAAGTTCGGTGCTGTTGCCGAAAAGAACAAAAGACAGCCCACAGAGGAGTGACTGTGATACTAAGATTTGGGAATGAGTTGGTTTCAAGTGTATATGATACGGAGTGAATGTGGGAGTAAGCGGACCTCAGCCATCTGTATACCTATAGTGAGTGTATAGGATGTTTTTTTTTTTCAAATAATGTGTGGCGTGGATGAGAAGTTTGTTGGGTTGAATGGCGATAGATGTTAGGTATCTTATACAAGTGATACCATTCAATTTTTCTTCCTTTTCAGGGTATGTTCAGGGTTTACTTTATCCATAATAGATTTACTATACTATGTTCTATGTGAGTAAGAACAAATCTTCGGCTTATTTGATGGATTCGTATTTCGATATACCGATTATGTTTCTAGGTGCTGTTGCCGAATCAACAGAGGCCATCCCATTTGCGTGGTTCTAAACGTGATGCTAAAGTGATGGTTTTGCATCTCGGAAGTTACGCAACTGGCAGCAATGCTCAGAGATTAGATAGCTAGAATACTTGAGAAAAGTGCTTTAACATAGACCGACAGAATCATGTACAACAATTGCGTGTAAGAAGCACAAAGGGTTGGTGGTCAGTTGTTTATGATGCTCTCCCTGTGGTTGTAAAAGTACCAACGTTATGTATTTCTTATTACAATATTCTCCCACAAGGAGGCTTTTTCACAAGAAATCATTATAACTTTTATCACTTTCGGCACTTATTTGAAATCCAATGTTGCATAATCCTTTTACAGGATTTTGATAATTATATTTTAAAACTTTATCCCATACACATGCACATTTTCGATTAAAATTTATTTACATATTCACCAGCAAACAAACCCCTTATTATCATTATCATAATTATTATTAAATTTGTGTTGTTTTGATACCAGGTTGCGTATAATTGTTATTAATAAATCGAATTAAATATTAAACATGCGTACCATGGTATTATGGTATATATGAATTTTTGTTTGTTTAATTTAAATTTTTAATGTGTTTTGTTTTTAATAAGAGAGAGAGAGAGATAAACAGGAAATAAAAACAAACATGCTTAATAAGTACAACAAACTGTGTAGGTGTGCATAAAAAATTTCAACGGAAGTAAATATTCTAAATTAATTATTTTTTGGGGGGGAGGGTGAATTTTCAAAATAACAAACTCAACATAAAAACAGAACTCAATTCGAATTGAATAAATATAGAAAGAAAATTTTAACAAATTATTTTTAAAAATAATTCTTACCATTAATTAAGGGTTTTTGTTTAGAAAGTGTATTATTTAGATAATTTTAACAATTTATTTCAACGTTTAGCAATCCAATAGTTATTAAAGTTTTGACAAGTGTAAAATTGTGGACAATTTCTTCTTTACATTTATTTGACAGAATATTTGAAAATTGTTTTAAAAAGAAAATGGTTTGATGAAAATTATAGCTAAAGCAATTGGTAGAGTGCTTTTAAAGTGTGTCATTTGGTTTTGTTTTATTTAGATTTTTAATTTATTTGTTTTTAAATTTTTTTTATTAATTTAATTTATTTTTTTGTTTTAATTAACGTGCATTTTATTTGATTTTAATTTATAACTATTTAGGGATATTTTTGTTATTGTTGTGGCAAATAATAACGATTATTAGCAGTCCAAGTGTAGGGTGTATCAAGGCTTTGATAGTGTGACACCGATATTGTAGCTATTTTTTTTTTTAAATATAAAATTTTAAAACAAAAAATGGAAAGAAAAAAGACAATAAAATAGTTTCAAAAGTTGCACATAGTTTAAAAGTCCCATAGTGAAGAAAATATAATAAATACAGAAAGAGAGAAAGAGAGAGGGAGAGTAAGAGTTGAAAATGATAGACTGATAACTGTAGCAGGAGTACAAGACCATAGAGGATTGCATTAGTGATTAATAAAACTAAAATAAAAACATTTGCTTTGTTTAAAAAAAATAATTAGAAACAATTAAATTAAAAATAGAAGCTGTAAAGCTTTCACAGTGTTAGTTCTTTTTTTCGTTCTTAATTGGTATTAGTAATTAGAAATCAACTACAAATACTTACGCCTTGAACCCATTCTCTTCATGGGCTGTTCGGTGCCCAAACTCATGGCTCGTCCCAATTCGCCACGCACCGCCTTCAATGATTTCAATATTTCATCGGGATCTCTGCGTGCCACCGAAGATCGTCGTCGTCCCACTAAATACGTGGTCGGAGGTGGAGCCATATCATCTTCTCGATTCTTATCAGCATCTTGAAATGATGATCGACGAGAGCCGGGCAAAGAGCGTGAAAAATCTTTACCCAACTGATAGACTTCCACTTCCAGTGTTTCCGATTGGGATGAGCCTCGCCGCGAGCCCGCTATCCATGCATGATCTGGATGCAACAGGGACGTACACTCACCAATCGAATCCACATCATCCGATATGGAACGTTGCATATTGTAGTCGCGCCTCAGCAAACGTGAAACATCGCCTCCGGGACCGCCCGCAGCTATAGAGCCGCGCGGTGATACACTGGGGGATTTTGACATGCTGATGCCCCGCAGACCCTTTGGATCATCGAGGCGACACCAAATGGCACGATCGTCGAGAAAGGCCTGTTGCAATTCGAGGCTGCATTCACCCAGAAATATCGATTCGGTATGAGGTACCAAATCCCACAGTTGTATTTCAATATAACGATCCATGAGGCTATCGGCTTTCACGTGTGCGAATGTGAGGGTGGCATTCCAGATCGGGTTTTGGGCAGGCGGACAAACTTCGGTTTGTTGAACAGAGCCATCGCCGCTATGTACAAAAAAATATTTAAATATTATTAAGAAAACCTTATGTTTAAGAGATTTATTGACAAGTTCCAAACATTTCGTTTTTAAACCACTTACCACTTCGGCAATATACGAACTTTGGCATATGCTTCCGGTAAATTACCATGCCCATAGGCCTCATCACGCAAAGCCAAATCATCGGCTGCCATTAGACTCACTACCAGTTCACTACGTTCTGCATGATACCAAACTTGTACTTGTACTCTACCACTGACCTGTTTTTCTCTAGCAATTTGTTCCTAATTATTCAAAAGGAGTTTGTTAAACAAAACAACAAAGAATAAAAATAAAAATTAAAATAAGCCAGAGTCATGGGGGGGAAAGAGGAAGGGAAATATAATAGAATATTAGTAAAACATTATAAATATAAAATTGCAATTTTAATTAGAAAAAATAAACTTTCTACTCAATTAATTCTAAACTAAATTTATAAAATTACTTATATTTATTATTTCTTCTTTTTTAATATTGTATATTTTGCAAATTTTGTAATAAAATTATTTTTTTTTTGCAAATATTTTTTGGATAAAATGAGTTAAAATTTTTAATTATTTTTCATATTTGTTTTTTTATACATTTTTTTCTTAACAATTTATAGCAGGAAATGTAATTGTGGGTGTGTGTTTTTTTGTTTAGGTGTAGTTTTCAATTGAAAATTAATTTAAAAAATCTAAAAATATAACAAAATTAGTTATAATAAAAGTATAAATAAAATTTAAATGAAACTTTGCAAATTAGGTTGACAATTATAAATAAATTGTTCATGCTTAATAGGTACACAATCTATAAGACTAAAAAAACTATGATGATTATTATGAAGATAATTATATTGACATAAATTCGTATACATATTATAAAATTTAATTTTAAAATGGACACAACTACAAACATTTAGTTTTGTATAGTCTAGTCTTTATATGATATGAAAATATTGATTTATCATTTGCTGTTGAACATGTTCAAATTAGTTTAACAATTTTAAATTTTTAATAAAAATTTTTGTGGTTGAATTGATAGAAAAAATGACTTAGTCAATAGTCTGGTGTATAATTCAGGCTATTGTATAGTCTAGAATACAAAATTTCATGTCTAGTCTATATTATAGTCTATAGACTTGTCTAATCTATAGTATAGTCAGTCTATAATCTAGTATATAGTCTGGTCTACAGTCTTGTCTATAGTCTAGTCTATAGGCTAGTCTGTTGTCTAGTCTATAGTCTAGTCTAAAGTCTAGCCTATAGTCTAGCCTATAGTCTATCCTGTAGTCTAGTCTATAGTCTAATCTTAAGTATAGTCTTAAGTCTAGTCTTAAGTCTAGTCTTAAGTCTAGTCTTAAGTCTAGTCTTAAGTCTAGTCTTAAGTCTAGTCTTAAGTCTAGTCTTAAGTCTAGTCTTAAGTCTAGTCTTAATTCTAGTCTTAAGTCTAGTCTAAAGTCTAGTCTTAAGTCTAGTCTTAAGTCTAGTGTTAAGTCTAGTCTTAAGTCTAGTCTTAAGTCTTGTCTTAAGTCTAGTCTTAAGTCTAGTCTTAAGTCTTGTCTTAAGTCTAGTCTATAGTCTAGTCTATAGTCTAGTCTATAGTCTAGTCTATAGTCTAGTCTATAGTCTAGTCTATAGTCTAGTCCATAGTCTAGTCTATAGTCTAGTCTATAGTCTAGTCTATAGTCTAGTCTATAGTCTAGTCTATAGTCTAGTCTATAGTCTAGTCTATAGTAGTCTATAGTCTAGTCTATAGTCTAGTCTATAGTCTAGTCTATAGTCTAGTCTATAGTCTAGTCTATAGTCTAGTCTATAGTCTAGTCTATAGTCTAGTCTATAGTCTAGTCTATAGTCTAGTCTATAGTCTAGTCTATAGTCTAGTCTATAGTCTATAGTCTAGTCTATAGTCTAGTCTATAGTCTAGTCTATAGTCTAGTCTATAGTCTAGTCTATAGTCTAGTCTATAGTCTAGTCTATAGTCTAGTCTATAGTCTAGTCTATAGTCTAGTCTAGTCTAGTCTATAGTCTAGTCTATAGTCTAGTCTATAGTCTAGTCTATAGTCTAGTCTATAGTCTAGTCTATAGTCTAGTAGTCTATAGTCTAGTCTATAGTCTAGTCTATAGTCTAGTCTATAGTCTAGTCTATAGTCTAGTCTATAGTCTAGTCTATAGTCTAGTCTATAGTCTAGTCTATAGTCTAGTCTATAGTCTAGTCTATAGTCTAGTCTATAGTCTAGTCTATAGTCTAGTCTATAGTCTAGTCTATAGTCTAGTCTATAGTCTAGTCTATAGTCTAGTCTATAGTCTAGTCTAGTCTAGTCTAGTCTAGTCTAGTCTAGTCTAGTCTAGTCTAGTCTAGTCTAGTCTAGTCTAGTCTAGTCTAGTCTAGTCTAGTCTAGTCTAGTCTAGTCTATAGTCTAGTCTAGTCTAGTCTAGTCTAGTCTAGTCTATAGTCTAGTCTAGTCTAGTCTAGTCTAGTCTAGTCTAGTCTAGTCTAGTCTAGTCTAGTCTAGTCTAGTCTAGTCTAGTCTAGTCTAGTCTAGTCTAGTCTAGTCTAGTCTAGTCTAGTCTAGTCTAGTCTAGTCTAGTCTAGTCTAGTCTAGTCTAGTCTAGTCTAGTCTAGTCTAGTCTAGTCTAGTCTAGTCTAGTCTAGTCTAGTCTAGTCTAGTCTAGTCTAGTCTAGTCTAGTCTAGTCTAGTCTAGTCTAGTCTAGTCTAGTCTAGTCTAGTCTAGTCTAGTCTAGTCTAGTCTAGTCTAGTCTAGTCTAGTCTAGTCTAGTCTAGTCTAGTCTAGTCTAGTCTAGTCTAGTCTAGTCTAGTCTAGTCTAGTCTAGTCTAGTCTATAGTCTAGTCTAGTCTATAGTCTAGTCTAAAGTCTAGTCTATAGTCTAGTCTATAGTCTAGTCTATAGTCTAGTCTATAGTCTAGTCTATAGTCTAGTCTATAGTCTAGTCTATAGTCTAGTCTATAGTCTAGTCTATAGTCTAGTCTATAGTCTAGTCTATAGTCTAGTCTATAGTCTAGTCTATAGTCTAGTCTATAGTCTAGTCTATAGTCTGGTCTATAGTCTAGTATATAGTCTAGTCTATAGTCTAGTCTATAGTCTAGTCTATAGTCTAGTCTATAGTCTAGTCTATAGTCTAGTCAAAAATCTAGTCTACAGTTCAGTGTATACTCTAGTCGAAAATCTAGTCTACAGTCCAGTGTACAGTCCATTCTATACTGCCGTATATTATCTAGAATATACTATGTCTAGTCTATAGTCTACTTTACAGTCATTACATTAGTATATTATTAAAATCAATCAATTTATTTTACACTAAAATTTAATGTTATACATTTTTAACATTAAACTAATTTTATATTCTTGAATTTTTCCTTACAATGTGTCACAATTGTTCCACAATATTATCAATCATTTGGCACTCTTTTAAGTTTCAAATATAAAATTTTCCCATAAAATGTTCACTAGTCACCTGTAGATGACATAAAATCAATAAAAAGTAAGAATATTTTGCTGAGAAAATGTACAATATAAAAACTTATAGACTAGGTGCAAAAATTTTCATGGAGGAATTCATATTAGGAGTGCACTGATTTTATGGATCTAGTAAATGTTGTCAATCTCAAACTTAGCGAGGTTATTTTAGGGGCTCGAGTTATTTTACGGATTCAAGCGATAAATTGCTGACTTATAATCAGGAAATCACGACTACTTTAGCATATAAGGGAGAATTAGTGTTTTTTTAAACACAATGTGTATCAAATGAAATGTAGTTTATGGAACAGTGCTAAGTTGTTTATCAGCAACTATTTTTTATTGTCAACAATATGTTGTTTAGTATTATAAGTAGTGAATCTTATTTTGAAAATCCGGGATGCAAATGCCATACAATTGGTTCTAGTCAATTAAATTATTTCGTTCTCTTTTTGCTGCAATTTAATTTGGCAAATGATACGTAATAATTTTGATATTAAAAACTTTCTCTTAACATATATGAGTTTTTATGAAATGCATTTTTTTCCTTGGCAGAAAAAGTTTTTTTATGCGGATTTTATAAAATAATGCTTTCAACATTTTACACACAGATACATTAAATACAAAGTCAGTCAATTATTTAGTTAAACTAAATTATGTGATGAAAGTTTATCTACAAATGGAAAAAATAAAATAAAATTTTACACAAAAAAATAAAAAGCAGAAAAATGTGATATATACATGACATACTTATGAGAGCAGTAAAAATGTTAAATTTACAAATGAAATATTTACTAACAACATTTATAAACACAAATATACATACATAAGTAGTTAAATATACACGAATTTATAAACATTTCTACTTAAATTATTTAAATGCACAAAAATAAATATAAAGTATAAATCACATTAAAAACTTTATACAGGAAATACTATAAATAAACATTACTTTTTACACACTTAAATTTCAAGATGTAAGTATTTCCATAAATAAGTAAATTTCCTTTTATAGTTTTTAATGGAAAATGGGAAATGTTTTTCAAAGAAATTCTTTTTTATGTCAGCATAAAGTTTGAAATTTCTTAAAATTATTATTTGGGGAAAATCGTAAATGTAAATAAACTATTCTGTTTTTTGGAATTCCTAAAATGGTTTTATTTAATTTATACAAGTTTAACAGTTTCGCTCTTAAACAAGAATGGAAATTTAGTACTATAGTGCTTTTCAGCACTTTTTGTCTATAGTCTAGTCTATAGTTTAGTCTATAGTCTAGTCTATAGTCTAGTCTATAGTCTAGTCTATAGTCTAGTCTATAGTCTAGTCTATAGTCTAGTCTATAGTTTAGTCTATAGTCTTGTATGTAGTCTAGTCTATAGTCTAGTCTATAGTCTAGTCTATAGTCTAGTCTATAGACTAGTCTATAGTCTAGTCTATAGCTAGTCTATAGTCTAGTCTATAGTTTAGTCTATAGTCTTGTATGTAGTCTAGTCTATAGTCTAGTCTATAGTCTAGTCTATAGTCTAGTCTATAGTCTAGTCTATAGTCTAGTCTTAGTCTAGTCTATAGTCTAGTCTATAGTCTAGTCTATAGTCTAGTCTATAGTCTAGTCTATAGTCTAGTCTATAGTCTAGTCTAGTCTAGTCTATAGTCTAGTCTATAGTCTAGTCTATAGTCTAGTCTATAGTCTAGTCTATAGTCTAGTCTATAGTCTAGTCTATAGTCTAGTCTATAGTCTAGTCTATAGTCTAGTCTATAGTCTAGTCTATAGTCTAGTCTATAGTCTA